CACCACATCGAGGCGCCCCCTGCGCCCCCCGCGCCGCCCGCGCCCGGGCCTAGCAGCGGCTGGCTTTCGGGGTCCGCGCGCGGCCACCGCGCCGGCGGGCTCTCGTCCTCGAAGGCCAGGCGGCACAGCGGCGGCCCGACGACGGCGGCGGCTGGGGGCGCGGGCGGCGACGGGAAGCCGGGGAAGGAGCCCGCAGCGGGCTCGGCCGGCTCCTTGTCGCGGACGATGGCGAAGTAGGAGGGCGGGGGCTTCTGCGGGGCCTGCGCGGCCGGCGGGGACAGCGGGCGCCCGGCCGCGCCCCGGGACGCCCCCCTCGCCTCGCCCAGACCCAGGCCCTGCGGCTCTATGGGGCCATAGTAGCGGTGGAAGCCGTCGGCCAAGCTCGCGCCCCCCGGCGGCCCCGCGCCCTTGGCCCGGCGCCAGCGGTCCACGGCGGCGCGCTCGCGGGGCATGAAGGGCGCCGGGCCTGGTGCGGGGCGCGCCGCGGGGTAGGCAGGGCTGGGCAAAGGCTGCGGTGGCGGCGGCGGCTTGGCAGGCGGCGGGGCGGTCTCAGCGCTGCAGCAGCTGTACATGCCCTGCGGGCCGGGCCAGGCCGCAGGTCAGGGCGGGGCTTCCGTCCCAGCCTCCCAGCTCGGACCGTCCGACGCCGGTCCTGTCCCCCCCCCACCGGGCTGCATTTGCCCCTCCTGTGGCCGCCCTCTCCCGCTCCCTCTTACTCTGGAAAAGGCCAGCAGGAAGTCCATGCGGTGCGTAGGCCCCAGGCAGTGCCGCAGGCGCCAGTACACCAGGTGCTCCCAGGCGAAGACCAATAGGGAGAGGCCCATGGCCACCAGCAGCATGTAGAAGACCCCGGCCATGTTGTCGATGTCCAGCTTGCTGCTCATCACCTCGATCTTGTCGTTGTGGCAGATCCCGGAGAGCCACAGCCGCTCCAGCATCTCGATCTCATCTGGGGAAGTGGGGTTGGAGATCACCTGCCGTGAGCACCCTCTGAGGACGTCCCCTCTGGTGTGGGAGTCCAGCCCCCAGCCCCTGCCGCCAGGCCTTCATCCCCTCCGTCCCCAGGGCCCATGGGTCCTGTCCTCTCCCTCCCCTTCCATGTGGAAATCCCTGCGGGCAGCCCCACCGTCCCCCAGGAACTGCAGCAGTGCCAGGTCGATGGGCCGCTTCCAGCGGGAGCCTTTGTGGAGGGCGATGCCATAGCCAGTGGTGGCGAAGACCTTGCCAGAGCCGATGGTGACCAGCTTGCAGCCCTCGTCCTTGCGTGCCATGTAGTTGAGCACGGCAGCGTCATAGATGAAGGCGTCCAGCTTCCTGAGGACAGGAGGATCAGAGGCAGGGTCAGCCCCATGCCGATGACCGAATGGCCTAGTGGAGCCTCTCATGCCAGCCTCTACTGCTCCAAACCCTAGCTGGCGCCTTTCTGGGCCTCCATTTCATCGTCTATAAAATGGGAATCACTGCAACACCTCCATTCCGGGTTTTGCGAAGGTTAGATAGTGCCTAATGTAAAGGAGGTGCTGGGCTGGAGAAATGGCCATTGTCAATGGTTTTTTGTTTGTTTTTTCTGAGACAAGGTCTCAGTAAGTAGTTCAGGGTGACCTTGAACTCACTATGCAACCCAGGCTGGCCTCAAACTCTCTGGAATCCTTCTGCCTCAGCCTCACCAGTGCTGGGATGACATGCCTCCTGGAGAGAGCCCAGGCTGCCAAAGTGCTGGGATTACAGGTATGCACCACCATGCCTGGTTTTAACCTTGACTTTTGCATTGATATCCTGTCTGGGTTTGTTTGTTTTGTTTTGTTTTTCCAGTAGTGGGGATTAAACCCAGGGCTTCTCAAATACTAGACAAGCACCCCTCCATTGAGCTACACTCGTCTGTTGATGTAAATCCTTCTGCATCCCAAACCTCCTCAGAAGCCCGGACTACACATTCCGGTGCTCACACATAAATACCTGCTTGTGTGGAAAGGAAAGAAAGGGACTGAAATTATCCATGCACCCTGACTGGGAGGCGGAGTGGGGTGCAGCTTCCCCAAACCGAATGGCTGGAATTAACCGGTGTGAGGGAGTGGGTGAAGGACGCAGAGCTGGGGCTGATGGAGGGGGTGGGGAAGCAGCTCACCATGCTGTGGCTGGAGAGCCAGGTTAAATTGGTAGAGAGATCCCCCTGACTTCTGGAATAGGATATACAGGCCAGAAAAAATACCGCCACTGCCTGTGGGCACTTCTACCTCATAGGCAAACTAATTTCTCTCCAGGTTTCTCTTTGTTTAGGAAAATGCCCATGGGGGCGAAAGGTGAATTGCTCTTTCCATTTAAGTGGGAAGAATTTGGAGTTCCCAGAGTTGGGCTGAAGAGGAGAACGGAGGGGCCTAGGAACTAGGAGTAGAGGGAAGAAGGTTCTTCAGGGGTGCTGGAGAAAGCTACTAGCCTTCAGCGTGGGAACTGTTGACAGCATTCAGGAAGGCGGATCACACAGTGCTGGGGACTAAAGCCCAGGCATCACTGCCAGGCACCGTGCTCCACACCCCCAGCCCAGAGCACACTTAATGCTCACTTTGTTCCTCCCTCCACCCATCCCTACCTCAACGCCTTCTCCTCCTCCTGGTTCATAAATCGCTATGAAAACGCAGCCATTTCCTGCAGCTTCTGGACGTAGGTTTGGGGGGAATTTAAATTCCCTGCCCACTTTGTCCGCCAGAGACTCAGTACTGGGGCTGGTGCCAGACTCTCCCTAGCTCACCCCCCTCCCCGGCTCTCCACTTTTCTCAGAGTGACTTGAGTCACCTAGAGCTTCAAAACAGCCCTCCCTGCCCCTCTGCCCTCATCTTCCAAACACCCATCCCTCTGCTCCAGGCTTCCCACTGCACTTGCACCTCTCCACTCCTGCCCCCGGGCCTTTGCACTGGCTGCTCAGACACCTTCTCAACCCCCTTATATGATACTGCAACTTGTGGCCTCCTCAGGCCTCCCAAACTCACACACCCTGCTTGATTTCATGTGTAAGCATTTGTGCTCCATAACGCACCACAAAATGTTATTATCCAGTTTACTGTCCATCTCCCTCCACTGGATTTGAATTCCATGAGGACAGAGAACTCCCCTGCCTGGTTCACAGCTCTGTCTGTGTGGTCTCTGACAGTGACTGACACATATGCAATACCTAGTGAGGAGTAGCTGAGTGAGCTCCATGTAGTGGCCTGTACCTATAGTCCCAGCTACTCAGGAGGCTGAGGCAGGAGAGCACTTTGGCCTGGGAATTTGAGGTCTGCCTGGGCAACATAGTGACACCCTGTCTCAAACAAAAAAATTAAAAATAGGGGTGGGGATTTAGCTCAGTGGTGCTGCCACCTGCCTCGCAAGCCCAAGGTTCTGAGTTCGATCCTTGGCACAAAAAAAAAGGCCAGGTGTGGTGCCACACACCTATAGTCCCCCATGCTCGGGAGGCTGGGGCAGGAGGATCACAACAAGTTCAAGGGCAACCCGGGCTATGTAGTGAGTTCAAGGCCAGTCTGAACTATATAACAAGACCCTGTATTTAAAAACCAAAACACTCAAAAAACAGAAAACGGCCAGATGATGAGTTCAGACTGGTTAGAGGCAGTGTTGGCTGGGCCAGGCATCAGAGGTAAGGCCTTGGTATATGGGAAAGATCCAGGACATGTCCTCCACAGAAAAAGCAAGGGAAAACAGCAGGCACTTCTGGTTGGCGTGTAGGAAGGTGTGCGCATGCGTGTTTTAATTCTTCTGGAAGAAACTAAAAGCTTTAAGCTTTAGGGAAAGGCACTCCCTTTTTCCTCTCCAGAGTGCAACACAACTGAACAGTGCTGGGTGGTGGGCGGGCAGAGCTGGCCGGTGGGGAAGCCCCACTTCCTGTCTCCCCCCCAGCTGCCTGTCCTTCCCCTCTTGGGAGGCTGCTGCTGCCCCAGCCCCTGCGGTAGGGTGAGCCAGTTGGCACGTGTACCAGCCAAAGCCCCGGAGCTGTCAGGTCCCTTGTACCTCACCGCAGGATGGAATTCTCTCACACTGTTCCCTGTGGGGATCACTAGCCACATCTGCCTATTAGTATCTCAATTTTAATTAAAATCTGGTTCCTTAGTAACACTGGTGACCAGAATCTGGTGGCTGCGATGTTGGGCTGCACAAGTCTAGGCCTTTTCTTTTTGCTTTTTTTTTGGGAGGGTGGTTTGAGACAGGGTCTCACTGTGCAGTCCAGGCTGGCATGGTAATCACTGTGTAGCCCAGCCCAGCCTTGAATTTGCGACAATCCTCCTGCCTCAGCCTCCCAAGTACTGGGACTACAGGTGTACACCACCACGTCCAGCCAGTCTAGGCCTTTTCATTTTTGCAGAAACAGTCATGACCTGGAGGTCCTGCCTCGCCAAGGCAGTGCTGCTCTGGACACACCGAGTCTGCTCCCCAAGAAACCCTAACCTGTTCACTACAGTGCCCCAGTGCTCAACACAATGCCTGGTGCAAGGAAACCTTGAGCATTTATTGGATGGATGGATGAGTGAGTGAGCTCGTGTTCACCTTCGCATCATTAGGGGTCATCTTGTTAGAGAGACCAGGGCTCATCAATTGTTTTCTCCAGTATATACAAGGTATGATCAAAAACTACAGTGAATGTTTAGTTTTTTTGTTTTTTTTTTTTAAATGTGTTACAGTAAAAACACATTGCCATTAATCTCCCTTCAAACACCCCCCTCCCTTTTTCCCATTTTCCCATTGTTCTTGCCACTTTCTGAAGCAGTCCTGAAAGCCTTCTTTTTCAGTTGCACTGTCATGGCTGCCTTGATGTCCTGAATCAATTAAAAATGTTGACCTTTCATGGTCATTTTGACTTTGGGGAAGAGCCAGAAGTCGTATGGTGCCAGAACTGGTGAATCAGGTGGCGCGGATACACTGTGGTGTTTTAACCAGCTTGCCTTTCTGTTGGGTGGTCCTTAGCAACAGCATTCACTTTTTTTTTTTTTTTTTTTTTGCAGTACTGGGGATCAAACTCAAGACCTTGTACTTGTGAGGCAGGTGCAGTGCCACTGAGCTAAATCCCTGGCCCAGCATTCACTATTTTTTGATCATACCTCATAAAAACACTCAGTGAAGGACTTCCCAAACTGCTTCAGAAAGCAGCCAGAAGGATGATGGGGTGAGTGTGTTTGAGGAGGGGGTAGTTTGAGGGGAGGTAACAGTAATGTGTCTTTAATGATTATTTATTTATTTATTTATGGTACCAGGGATCGAACTCAGGTCCTTGCTTTAATGATTTTTTAAAATGTAAACATTCACTGTATATTTTGATCACATCTCATGTATATCCCAAGAAAAGAGACACAAAAATACTGACACTGGGAATTACCTGATAAATATGGTCCCAGTTACCCTGTGGTAAAGTTCATAATTCACAATGCCCTCATGCCCTCCGAGGCTCACCACTTGTAGCTTCAAACCTAAGCCCCACTGGAGCAGACTGCCCAGGGCCACTGGATGTCAGATAAAGCCTCTGGCAAGAGAGAGAGATGTGGACCCAAAAAGAATAAAGTGGCAGGGGAAGGGAGACTGAGTAGAAACACAGTATGCACAGAGTGGAAAATATTTTTTAAAAATATTTTCTCCTCTCATTCTAAATAGAACCTCATTTTTGTACTTAAAAATATTCACTAATGTCATCAGAGAAATAAGATACTGCAATCTGAACCATGAATAAGATTGTATACTGTGAAATTTATAAAAATACCATAAGAATTGAGAGACCAAAGAAAAGGTTCTTAGAAATTAAAAATATACTTGGCCAGGGGTGTGGCTCGGTGGTAGAGGTGCTGCTTACATATGTGACATCCTGGGTTGTATCTTCAGTACTATAAATATATTTATAGATATATAAATACATAGGTAAGCAGAAGTGAGAAGCTTAATTAAGGGGTAGAAGAAAAAATGAAAACCAGGAAGTAAAGCAGAAAGATAGAATAAAAGAAATGGACCATCCAGGAAATTCAACATCAAATTAACATGAGTTCCAGAAATAAAAGAAAAGAAAGAGGGGAGAAGCTGTTTGGCAAAGAAGTCAAGACAATCAGAGAAATTTTCTCAGAACGAATGGTATGACACAGGTAGGACTGACAGGCCCTGCAAGAAAAATAGATCAAGGTATATTGCTAATAAATATCAGCACACTTGAGAAGAAGGTGAAGAAAAACAGGCCATATACAAAGGTTAGGAATCAGAATAACCATAGCTTCTTCTACAGTGACACTGGATATTAGAACACAATAGTGTGATGACTCCACACTCCTAAAATGCTGTCTGCTCTG